TAAGGTCTGAGACTGCCAGCGGTCCGTCCCGCCCCTTCCTGTTTGCTGCAGCGAGGTCCTTCTCACCGTCTTGGAGCTAAATCCTGATTTCTGTGGGATTTTCTTCCTGTTCATCTGAAGTAATCGGGTTCTGCGGGTTAGGCTGATGGTATCAGAACCTAAAGATCCAGTCGAAAACAGGTTGTTGGTTCTGTTTGTCTGTTGTCTCTGAAACTCATGTCTGAATCCAGGAAGTGTTTTCTGCATATTCCATATTTACTCATAGCTGTCGAAGTTTTTAAGCAAAACGTAAAAGAAAGCCTGTATGAGGTTAGCTGAGAGCCGATTGGTCGGAACCTCTGGCTCCGCCCGTCTCTTTGCTCCATTAGCTGTCCTCTGTTTGCAGCCGACCAGGTGTACGGGGATCAGGACATGCACGAGGTGGTGAGGAAGCACTGCATGGACTACCTGGTGAGTCTGATCACATGACCCCTCCCCTTGCCGACTTCTCAGCCAATCAGCTGACGGCGTCTGTTTGGCTCCTTCAGATGAAGAACGCAGACTACTTCTCCAACTATGTGACAGAAGACTTTACCACGTACATCAACAGGAAGAGGAAAAACAATTGCCATGGCAACCACATCGAGATGCAGGCCATGGCGGAGATGTACAACAGACCGGTGGAGGTGTACCAGTACAGCACAGGTGAGCCCATCGGCACATCTGAACCCAAACCAGATTCACGCATCTTTACCGATCCCACCTCCCGGTCCCACAGAGCCAATCAACACATTCCACGGCATCCATCAGAACAATGACGAGCCAATCAGAGTGAGCTACCACCGCAACATCCACTACAACTCCGTGGTGAACCCCAACAAGGCCACGATCGGAGTGGGCCTGGGTCTGCCCGCCTTCAAACCCGGGGTACCAGAACCGCAGTGACACACTTCCCCTTAGGACCATTGCCATGGTGCTGACCTCTGACCTTTCCCTCCCAGTATGCGGACCAGTCTCTGATGAAGTCTGCCATCAAGACGTCCGAGGAGTCGTGGATCGAGCAGCAGATGCTGGAGGACAAGAAGCGGGCGACGGACTGGGAGGCGACCAACGAGGCCATCGAGGAGCAGGTGGCGCGCGAATCCTACCTGCAGTGGCTGCAGGACCAGGAGAAACAGGCCCGACAGGTGAGACAGTACTGCAGGGTTTCCCCCAGAAAACTTGCTCAGCCCGTATTAAGTTGACAGCAAATGTAAAATATTGCAAGGTAATTATAGATCTGTTACTAAAAGACATTGCTGACAAATCTCAAACCCACAACTAGACTTAAAAACAACAAATCAAAACATATAATTAAAATGAATATCAATTATTTGCACTTCTTATAAATCCAAACTTAATCATCAGTCAGTGCCTCTAAAAACATGATGCTGATCATATTTAGAGCCGGACCAAAGCATCATTGAACTAAGCTGCTGCTTAAGGCCCCCAGGCTTTTCAGGGCCCTGAACTTACTTCCACTTATTTAGCAACCCAGAACAGGGATGAGAACTTGGAACCCAGAAAAACTACTTTAGCAACTACATTTTAGACCCCTATTCTTCCAAACCAGAACAGGGATTAGACCAGAGGTTACTTACTGATACTTATCTACCAACCCAGAATGGGAGCATCTAGTTTATTTACGTTAGATCAACATTATTCGCTTTTTCTTCTTTTGCTCTTTCCTTTGGTTTGTTATTTTGTTTGTATTTCTTTTTAATTCCTGTAAAGCACTTTGAGTTGCCTTGTTGCTGAAAATCTGCTATATAAAAAAATTACCTTTACCTACAGATATAGAAATGCAACATTTGTTTATTGAGAATGCCAATGCTGTTAAATTTGATTTGTTTCAGCATACATAAATTAAAAGGTTTTAAATTGTTTAACATTTAAATTTAAAATTTTAAGGAGATTTTTTTGTGAAAGTTCAAAGAACAATATTCATAGTTATGTTTTGTTACCACAGCTGAGTTTGAGCTCTGTTCACAAACACAAATGAGTAAACTACAGTTATAATTGATTGCTTTTAAACTTTGCTAATCAAACTAGGCCCCTCTCCCAGAACTGACTAAATCCATGATGAAATGCTGTTAGTGGTGCTACAGGGGCCCCTAAGTCAGATTCTGCGCCACGTCTCATACAGCCTTGGAGCGGCCCTGCATGATGAGCTAAATCCGCTCCACTGTGCATCTCTGCTGGATACAGAGGGACAAACAGGAAATTTAATTGATGCGGTTTTAGTAGCTCTTCCATCTCTTGTCTGCTGAGTTTTTAAAAGGTGCCACAGAAACTGTTTTGGTTGCCCGAGCTTTGCGGGACGAGTTTTCTTGATATAGGCGTGGCCGGTCGCAGCAACTGCCTGAAAGCATTTGATATATGAGTTTGATGCATTGTGTTGCCACAAAAAATTACATAAAATTTTAAAAGAAATTAAACCAGCCTGTTGTGTGACTACAAGGCGAGCGCAACATCTCCTCCAAGGGCTGAACCACCGGCCCACTAACCGTTGAGCACATCTTTAAATATAATTGTAGAGGTGTGCCGATCAATCGGCCACCGATCATAATCGGGCCGATTTCCGTGAAAAAGTGTATGATCGGTGATCGCCGATCATGGACTCTTGTTGCCGATCACCTAGATCTCATTTCCAGCCTGCCTGTGCAGCTGGTCTCCTCTTTCCTTCACTCTGCGCAAACGCAGCAACAAATCCGAAGCGATATATATACAT